AGAGCAGGCGTTGGGCAGGTTTGAGCAGGCGGTGCTCAGTAAGGGCTGCGTGACGGCAGGGCAGAGCACACCTGGGCAGGTACTCAGAAGCTAATTAGCGCTGATACGCGGCTGGCGATATCGTCTCTAAAGCGGACATTTCTGCTCTATCGCTGCTCTGTCGCGTCTCTACTCCGGCTCTGCAGCCGGCGACGGCCTGCGCTCTATTCCCTGCCCTAAATTTTAACTGGGTTGGTCTCTGTAGCGCTATTGCCTGTACTCAACTACATACATACCGTCAATTAAAGCTGATGCCATAGGCCGTCGCTCGCCATTAAAAAAAAGAATTTGGAACTCATCGTATTCATATAGTAGTTCCTTATATGAGAAATACATTGATGATGTTGTTTCGCTTCCTCAATCTGGAATTGATCTGAATTTTGATCTGGATCAAATTATAAGCAGCAACGTCGGGAATATACATTATAGAGTATCGAAAATATCACTAGCCCAATCCTAGCCTTACCATTTATCATTCTCGATCATTGAAACTTACAGAAGGGCTGTCCTCGAACATACGCGGATCACTTCACAAGTTTGAACCTCAGTAAAGTTCGCCAACATGACACCTATCTTTTCTATAGCATTTAATACTGTAACTTGCTTCATATAGCACTTCGTCATCAATACTGCTATGTTCACTGTTAAGTTCATCACAACAACATCCTCAACTTCTTGCATTCACGCTGCTGCTCTTTCTTAAAATTGGTAATTTTAAGAAAGAAAAATTTCTTTCTCGACTTGAACTTATTTATATATTTTTGACCTAATTTTAAAAAGAGTAGAAATACTCTGCACATATATTCTCACCGCATCGTCAATCTTCCAATTCCATTTGCTTCCTTTTGCGAAAGACTGAGTATCTTTATCAAAGCCGGTATAATAGTTGTTATTGCTTGGGTTGCTCCTCCTCCAACAATTACTGCTGTCATGTTGCAGTTGTCATTACAGTTATTATGATTATCATCAAGATTGCGTATATATCAAGATTTACAAAATTATATTAACTAAGGTAATAATAATTTTTCCATCCCCACGTTTCTGCTCATCAGACTGAAAGGAGAGTCCTCGAAGTTCTCTAATCGTTTTCTTTTGAAGAAAAACTTATTGCCCGCAACAAATTTATTGAATGTTGTACAAAAAAAATTTGCAACAACTTTAGCAGCCAGGAAAATGTGCTCCAAGTTGAAACACGAAATTTGATGAGACACGCAAGACTTGCCGGTATATAGACAGCCGAAAAGTAAACTAAATAAAAGTAAGACTTCTTACTTGATTATACGAAACTATCACCAGCTTAGGCTCTGGGTTAATTCGACACGAGATATTACCAGGAAATAGCAGCTGGGTAATAAGCATCAAATTAGCACTTTACCAATTCCTAATCTGACTGATTTACATATCGTGTTTGCTCGATTGGATATACGCGGGCTTAACTAGGATCTCAGCATCTGCATAAATTGACTCTCACGAACTGAACTTATAATTTAGGCGTTCTTCATGCGGGATAATTTGTGCAATGCCTTCGATAGTGACAGCTTCGAATATGTCTCGTCTCACGAATGAAACTGGTATTCAAATCACCTTGCTTTCGCATAAATTATCACGTAAATTACGCCAGACTAATCCTATGGAAATTTGGAATCAGATCAAATTGCACAGCAAATAGGAATCGTTTTCGCTGCATTTTTTTTTTTCGCTGCATCGTTCTGCTGCAAATGAGACTTTTACATCAAGTGTGTGTATGAACAGACGTTAATTAATTGATACTGATTCGAGAGGAGAAATATTAATGAAATCAAAGATAACCAGATTTTTAAATCAATGACCTTCACGAGTAACGACGGATTAAGTTGATGGTTAATAAAAAGCCTAATTTTCATCATTCTGGCTGAGTTATCAGTTTATCTACTACATTAAGAAGAAATGGAAACGTGCTGTAACACCGACAGATTCTGCTCTTGCTCGCAAAGCTTTTGATCAAGTGGCCGAATAATTTCAATGTTGCTGTTCCTAATTTCGGTGCAGAAATCTTTTATAGCAAATTTTATATAAATTCTTTGTTCTTCTATTGCTCATAACATTGAAGTTTTGATTTTTGACAAATGAAAAATGAAATTCCTACATTTATAGATTATATGGAGTTCGAGGTTATATGAAAACAGATACATAAGGTAAAGCAATTGTAATTGAATGTCTTGGATGTAGATTTGAAGGAGTATTAGATGAATATTTCGTCTCGTACAAGAATCCTGTTTTAAAAAACAAAGATCAGTCATTACTAATAAAATTCTACATGCGTGAAATAATACTCTCAAATTATATAACGGTTTTTCATGGTTTTAAAACCATGACTTTTTACTGGTATTAAAACCATGAAACCCCGTTTTATAATTTAATAATCAGAACAACAGTATAGGCTCTTTTGGCTCTAAATGGATTGAATACGGTATAATAAATGACGAGACTGCATGGCAAATTATGTTTGGATGTTTTGAAAAATTCGTTGACACGGTGAAATATCTGGCGGAAAACACCGTTTGCTCCTCCACGAATTCCCTTTTGATGACACCTTTAAATTCACATCCTGAAGCATCAGAATTTCCAGGAAATTCCGTACGAAAATTGTGACATTCACATGTGTTATTGACGAGTACACAGCACTAACAGAGAAAGTAACAGTATACATTGTACAGAAAGCAAGCTTCCTATATGCAGTTTATTGCAGCTTCCCACAAATCATTGTACAAATAGCGCTCAATCACGGACAACATTTGTTATAGTGCAAATGCGCATAAAAATTCCCGATGAGTAGTTTATAAAGGATTTTTCTTTTCTTTCTTTATTGCAAAGAGATGTGAACGTTATTGACTAATAGTGAGTAAATAGGTAACTTGGTCAGAGCGAAAAATATAAATGACCGACAATATATAAAATATAGACCGACAATATATATGAATGACCGACTCACAGCACCTGCATTCGATTTGATCGTTAGATTTAGCCAGGATTAAGAGAGAAGCAAGGAGAAACTAGTTGAGTTATAAATCCGAAACGTGGGTATTTACTCAAAGACCACTTCATAACTTAGCAGTATTATTTATCATCGTGCTCTTAATAGATAAATTCACATTTGTACACAAATTTTTACATCAAACTGACCCCACTGAATACGTAACTCAAAAAATATTTTTTTAAATTGATTTTCTGGTCATGCACATTAACTTGCTGACTTATCGTAGAATCTAATTATTTACTTGTTGACGCCGAGACGCTTAATTTTACGCTTAATCAGTACGAAAAATAAATATTTACACAAAATTTGATATATTGACGGCCGGATAATAAAGATTTTAAGAATAAATTTATTCAGTCCTTCAATATGATTATTGATTGTTCGGTTAATTATATTATTAAGAAGTTCCAACACTTTGAATTCCTCTCTCGTCTAACCCACCAATGATAATATTGAATTGGCTGGTATTTTCACTGAAGTACTCAGCACCAGGTTTACCCGGAGCCCCAAACTCAATGTTAATGGTAAAGCCGATATCTCCATGAAGGATAGCACTGCGTTTAATGTCACGTTGAAGTCGCGGTGCCCTCAACGTGAGTTGGATTATTATCTCCGAGGCGGCGATCACATACTGACCCGCAAATAGATGTTCTTTCTGCGGTAAAATCTGTACCCTGACAATAGCTGCACCGATCCAGGATTTTGCCTTTGAATTTCAAATGCTGGAACCCGAAACAAAATTCCAGGAAGTGTCGGAGCATCAGCGGCAGGGCTGCCAAGACCAGCACGAGGAAGCGACAGATGTACAGCGGAGCCGCGACATCGACGTCGCGAGGATGTAACGCAGCGATTTTGTTGCCTGGAAATATAATGTGTTCACAATTTATCGAAATAAAAGCTTTTGATTCTGGGAGAAGAAATCACGGGTAGAAGCGTATGATTCTGGGAGAAAATTTTGATGCTTGACATATTTGGCTCTAATGAGAATGATCTATCGCGTACTTCTAAATAAAATTGATTGAATAAATTTAGTTTTATGTTTTACATTTTATCGATATTCATTTTCATACCTGCAATAATGCGAAAAGTAAGTGTACAGTTCATTGATGTCTGGTGAGATTTTAGACACGTTAAAAAAGTGGATCACAGTGAGCACTTCGTTTGAATTGAGGTCTGAGTTAAACTGTGCGTTGTTTGAGCTTAGTTGATTGTAACTGTGTCTTCTTTGGTTATAAAAGTTGTCATTTATTCGGAAAAAATTTTCAGTCATCACCAACTTACCGTTTTTCCTCCATATTCTTCAATATAAATATATAATTTTTAACACGCGGTTGCATGAAATAATTTACAGATATTGATTTTTTTAGGCGAATGCTAAACCTGGTTATAATCGAAATAAATGATTTGTACTTTATGCCAAAATTTTTTATCTAGAGAAAGCAGCGTCAAATCGACGGTTTGCAATTTTTAGACCATTTGTCGCCCCCACATTGAGTTTTGGATATCAAACAACGAGGTAGAAAATGTTAACCGTTGCTTCTGGTTCTGCACAGCGCAATTACCGGTAGCTGCTCGTTACGGATTTTTAATTTTTTTTTCAAAGGCCTCAAATGAGTGCAAAACTCGATCAAAGTGTACCATGACAGCAATTCAAGTTTCAAGCTGACATCAAAGTTTGACTTAACTTAAGATTTTCATGGCTAGAATGACATGCCAACGTTCATTTTGAGTGTAGAAGTAACACGCAATGCTGTAATATGTGGACAGAATGTTTATGAACTTATTTTTTGCCCTTGAAACCTTTTGAACTTCGCAAAATTTTCGTCGGCGTTCTTTTCGAACTTGTAGCGCAAGTTTGATCTAAAATTTGTGCCAGTTAATCGATCCTGAGGAGTGAATATGTGTTAACAATTGTAGGTTAATTTCAATATGTCGTATTATGGCAAGTTTACAGGAATGGTTTTTACAGGAATGGCTTTACGAATAGGAAACAGTTTCAATTTTTTACTGTCTGTATATTAAAGAGTTACGATAATTATTATTCTTTATTGGGCCTATGCCTGTGTAACGGCAAAGTACTGCCTTACGTCAATCGTCCTATCCTTCGGATACCGTGGTTTATTTTTACAAGAATTTCATCAATAGATTTATATCACGTCCTCTCACTCTCAACAGGTGAGACCGTAAAACGCTAGATTTATTCGGAATCTCGTTTGTTTTACCATATATTTTGCGCCCTCTTAATTAATTGCTATTTGATATCAGTTAACAACAACATTGGACTAGTTCATTATAAGAAATTTATCATATTTTGCTCGTGCCCGACTAGAAATACTTATTTAGACTCATTTCGCGTGCTTTTCACAGACAAAACCTATACTTCCCACAAATCATAACTATATTGCCACAGCTAAAATTGCTCAAATTTGCTTCAATGTGTGAGAAATCGACAAGTTAACCTTCACATAATAATACTTTAAAAGTAAATGTTTGAGTAGCAGTTTTCGCCCACCTGCAGTGATATATGCGGAGATACTATCAGCCAGCGTATTGTCTGCGTCGCATGTGTAGTTGCCTGAGTCGGAGGGTCGGGCGTCGGCGATGGTGAGACGCGACATGACGCGAGGCTCCGTTTCCATGTGAACGACCACGCCACCGCGCTCCTGGTCGTAGTTGATCATGCGCGAGTTGTGGTACCAGAAAATGTACAGCGGCGCTACGCGACTCTGGAATTCAGGAAAAATATGTATTTTCTTATTTATTTATGAAATTTCGAGTGTCAGGTCTTCGTTGATAAAGTGCGAGTTGTGGTACCAGAAAATGTACAACGGTGCCACGCGACTCCGGAATTCAGGAAAAATAAGCATTTTCTTAAGTTATTTATGAAATTTCGAGTGTCAGGTATTCGTTCATAAAGCGTAATTTGTGGTACTAGAACATGTACAACGGCACCGCGCGACTCTGGAGATCAAGAAAAATAAAATTAGCCTATTCTTTTCATTATTTATGAATTTTTCGAGTTTCAGGTCCCCGTTCATAAAGCGCGATTTGTGGTACCAGAAAATGTACAACGGCACCGCGCGACTCTGTAGATGATAAAACTATGGATTTTCTGTAGATATTTGTACTTTCTTATCAATAACGCTGGTCTAAACTAGAAGTTTTCGTGCAGTTTTGGCAAGAACCCAAATTATTCGGAGCCGTATGAGCAATAACAATGAATTATAGTTCGACGTCTGTTGACTCAGCAATGTTTGTTATAAAGAAAGAGACTCGAAGCTTTAGATAACAAATACAATCATACACCGAGAATTTCAAGGACTCGAAAAAAATCCAGTGTTGACCAGCGTCTCACAAGAAATGACAAAAAATTACTATCCTACACAAGAAAAAACTTCTCAGTACATTCCTGGTGACTTTATACATATCCTGGGGTCTGTCATTTCTTTTAATTGGTAAGGCACACGGAATCAGTTAGAAAATATTTAGGTTGCCTAAAATTTAAATTCTGTTTCGGGCAATTTGTTCCTTGTTTCTGATGTTTACCTTAATTTGCAAACGGTGATGTGTATGAAAGCTTAGTTTATCTGACATCGAAAAACTTCCGTCAGTACTCCATTTTAATGCAATGAATAAGTGTAATCGGTAAATGAGTTAAAAGCTAACACATACTTAAACACTGATATTTGTTATATTAGTTCGAGAATGTTTGCATATATTTAATTAGTATAGTTAGGCAGAAGTTTTTCTTTTATGCAAGTTTTATTGAAGACCAGAGCGCATTTCTCATTAATGACTTTCTTATTAATTTAAAACTCAAAAAAATATCAGTGTACATATAAAATATATTTAATTAACACTAAATGCCTTTTGCGTGTAGAATTACTGACCTGCTCTACGTAACAAGTAAGTGAGATGGTAGTGCCAGAGTCGACATGGTACTCCCCGTTGCCTGGTATCACGGCCTTAGGTTCCACCACCGTCAGGTGCACCAGGTGTGATACCAGACCACCTCCGCTCATGAGCTGTAGTACCATGAATTAGAACATTCAATTAGTAATTTAATTTAGTATAAGCATAGTATATGTATTTAATACAAGTAATGTATCGTGATATTTATTTAAGTATTTAATATATGTATTGTATAAGTATTCAATTTAGTATAATTAAATTTAATATATGAATCCTAAGTTTTATTCTTATCTTAGCTGCACAGTAGAGCGCAAAAGTAGAAAATTTAACACAGCTTTAAATCTCTACAACGCTTTCTGTATGGCATTGCTTATGCACAGAAATTAAAAAACGTAAATGACATTTTCAGCATGTTTACTGCAAGGACTAATAAAGCTTTTTGACAAATTGTTTAGTCAGGCAAGAAAAGAACGAAAATGTTCCTTTTATATACATTGGTGGGTATTATTTTTAGTTAAATGGCCAAAGGCGAATGCGTCATTAGATAGTTGCCATAGCAACGAAAGATTTTACAGTCAAAAGTGGCTTTTATCTTAGTAAGTTAGAAACTAATTTGTGGTGGAATATTTTTGTACGAATAAATAAACTCACGTACTCACAGCAGTGAATGACAGAGAGCGCATTTTCTCGTCGACGAAAACTTGAGGTCACGGACAGACGGACGGACAGATGGACAGACAGACAGACGGACATGCACGAGCACAATAGTGCATTTTTCCATAAATGAGAAAATGCGCTAAAAAGACAAACCACATCTAGGCCTCGTCACTAACATCGAAAAATGAGTGAATCTTAAAGCTGATAATAAAGATATTCCATTAGATTTTCATTGAGACGTTACATTGAATAGATCAACAAGATGAGTTTACTAGTGCATATAATAGTGACTGTTATTATTATGGCAGCAGCACAAATAATAATGACTGCTTATCGGTGCACTGCTTAATGAATTCCTCGATCGTGAATCCCTTGACCAATAAAGACAAACCTGGCATTCGTATGTTCCAGCATCTTGCAGCTTCACGTATTTGATGACCAGCGTCCACTCAGTGCTTCCCTCAGGGTGATGAACGTCGTAGCGCTGCTCTTTAGTGTACGTAACTGTTCCTGACGTCAGAATGTGCCAGTCTCTTCGCCGGACCCACGAGACTTGAGGAATAAACTGAAGGCCAGAGGCGCACAGTTTACACTTACAGAAACCATGGCAACCTGAGAGGAATCTACACTGAGAGAAATGGGATGGTCTGGATGACCCACTTTGATGAGTCAACCGCATCCGAATATCGATGCACTTTTTCGACTCACTTGCCCCATTTGTGGGTCATACTGACCCATTAAATTCCAGGCATGACTCACTTGTGACGTCAAATCTCTTATGACGCCACCCGTAGCATGGATACGTAGTTAGCATCTGGGCGTCAGAGTGATTTAACGCCCCAAGTGAGTCATGCTTGAAATTTAATGGGTCAGTATGACCCACAAATGGGACAAGTGAATCAAAAAAGTGCATTGATTTTCGGACGCGGTTGACTCATTAAAGTGGGTCATCCAGACCCACCCATTTCTCTCAGTGTAGATAACTTATCATCTGTGATGAAAAGTAATTAAATTCCTACATTTATTCATTGTATGTATAAATGGAGGAATTATTCGAGCTTGCATACTGAATATCATTTGTGTGTTGAATTGAGTGACGCCAGTCATTCGACTAGAGCAAGCTTTTAATTATTGTATATTGCGCGGAAAAATTATACTCCTGCGATCTCACCCGCTGGGAGGAAAAGTTAAACACAAACTAATATATCAATCATTGAAGCCTGAAAATATCGATTCGCTGTTTACTCAAAATTGCACAAATTAAAATTTTAATTGAATAACCTCAGTTGAAACCGATTTCAGAGTCCTGTCTTAACTACAGATTGTGCAAAATGCCCTTGGTCTCGAGGTGATCAAGCAAAACACTGAATAGAGTATCCGGATTTTCAAGTTAAGTTACATGGATTTGAGCGATATGACGCTCTGCTAATCCATCGGTTGAAAACTTAGTTGTTTATCCCGGTAGTAAGAACCACTTATTATTCACAACGCAATCAGATAAATTTTGCTTTTGTCTGACCTAAGCTAAAAGTGGCCAATTCGATGTTCATTTAACTGTTCAATTCGGAAGAGGTGTATGAGACTCATCAAGGTTAATAAAAGTGTTATGCTTGGCGGTTTTTATGTGCCATTATGTGCTTCCTCGTCTTTAATGAACCGAAAAACAGTGTGTGTTTTATGGGTCATTAGCATTAGCATTGTAGCTTGATTTGCACGTGGCCCGGACATCGTTTCAGCGGTTTTTAATATTGTGATATGTTTTAGTTATGGTTCGGTGCAGACATTAAAACTGAGTTAACGCATTGATATGTTATTTCAATTGCGTTCCGAATAGCTAGATCCTCGATGTAATCTGGATCGTGACCTGGTCGTGTGTTAGTATTGTGAAGTGTTCTTGCCTTTGCCTAATGTTGATTTCAACAGTGTTTCTGAGTGTCGATTTGATCTTGACATGAGCCGAGTATCGAACAAAGACGTATTTTCAGTAAATCTCCATCGCGATCAGCCTGTAGTTTGGTGTGTGTTGTATTTTTGTATTATCTTTATCATCCCTTAGGCAGCAGCTCGGTATTTTACATATCTCGATCATGCCAGACAACGGATCTGTCTGCGATGCATTTCAGTATTATTCTGATCGCGGCCTGAACAGCAGTCCGGCGTTTGATTGGTTGTTACACTTGGCGAGCTTGCAGACTGAATTAGTATGCATAGGTCAGCCGACTCCATCAGCAGAGTTGTTTCTGGTACGAACTGTTCGTCATGAATAGCAATATTGGTGAAATTGACGTGGAAAATGGCAGGTTCACGTGTTCATCGAAGTGCTGGTCACTGTTTTAGTGCAGGGATAACGGGGAGGGCTGAAGCTACATGTCGTGAACGGATTGTGATCGATTGAACACGATAAGTGCCCTAGCTTGTTCATTCCCCAGTATTAATTATATTTAGAGCATTTCGATAGAACTTTGTAATTTACGAAATTCCATTAGTGACAAAACAGAAACGACGCTAAATGGATGCGACAATATTGACCATGGATTTTATTCTCTTAGTCAAAGAGGCATTTTTACTGAGTTTATTCAATAAATTCTGAACAATTTATGTTCAATGCACTGACGTCAGTCACTCAGCACTTAATTGATCCATGCGCTGTTGAATATTAAACGTACCTGGCTTGAACAGGTTTTCTATTTTATGAAAATACACTAAATGAAAGTGCTTGTATAGCGTTACACAACGAACACTGCAGATGGTATTCATGGTTCGTATGAAGGTAAAGTGTTGTATATTTCGTTATATCAATGTTAGCATTAGAATTAAATTGGCTCCAATGGAGTTTTTTTCACATTACGGAAAAATATCATTCCATATTAACAATATATTGCAAGTTGCATATAATTCAAAATTATGCAGGCGGAGATCGCAATGACACCGCAAGGCTCTGTTTTTTCAGCCAGTTTTAACTGAAGTCGATCATTTATGGTCTTCACTAGGTGTTGACAAATGTTACCTGTACATTTCATTCAGTGATATAGATTGCATTATATTTGCCCATCGTCATTGAGTTATACCATCCAATGGAGGTGAGTAAACCTTGTATCTTACTCACCCTCTGTCACTGAAATATTTCTATATCGGCAGGATTGGGTAAAGAATATATTGTTCTTACCTTTCTGTCGCTGGAATGTTTGGTCCTGCAAGGCAAAAATACGGACTGTCCGAGCTGTGCAGTCACGTTGCTGATGAAACTATTGTTGAAAAATACGGCGGGCAGCGGTGTGGTCGTGGTCATGCCACGCAGATGAGGAGGGAGAGAAGGGATTATTTTTGACGGCATCAAAGACTCTATTGAAGGAGTTGTTGTTTTTACGGAGACTTCGACGTTGGTAATGGCTGCTTCAGCTACGGGTAAGGCCTTTGGCGTAGGAGCTTTGTGATGATCTTCTCCATTCTGCTTCATGTCAAAATCAACAAATAATCCATGGACTCTGTAAAATTTTTTGCCCTTACTTTTATCTCGCTTGAATCTCTTTGCTTTGCGCCATGACTGCGGGCGCTGCGATCGGATAGGAAAAATATTTAAATTTCCTGTGACAGCAACTGCTGTAGAAACTTGCGTCGTGCTCGCTAGCCTCTGGAGACCCGTCGAAATAAACTTGCCCAGCTTTGGCAAACTCGTCACAATTTCCTTGTCGAGGGCACTTATCCCGTGTGCATCTGAACTTCTTAGCTCTTCAAGGTGATATGTGGAGATGGAAGCTGCCATGTCAGCAGATTTAGGATCACGTGGAGCGTGAGGTGCCGGTCTCAAGGCAACGTTGGCGTTTCCGGCAACTGCAACACAAAACAAACCAGCGTCACAGTTTCGGTGCAAGAAAGCCAAGCAACATGCGCATCCCTGCGGCAAATAGTATCAGGTTCGGGAACAATTTAGCAGCCGGGTGTCCGTCCTCGCTTCACAAAGTTCATAGTTTAAACATTTTTGCTCCTTGGCTGATGAAACAAAAAAAGCGAAAGAACAGTTTATTTCTCGGCCATCGTACATGATGACAGACTCGAACTAGGAATTCGGAACGTGAACAATTTAATATTCTCAAATCTGATTAACTTGATTCGAAATAAACTTTAAAATGGCTGAAAAACTGCGGAGAAAAATCTGGCTACCTGTAAATTAGTAAATTTGTTGTGGGAGGTTCGTGATTAGCCAGTCTAAAAATGAGAGCAATTGTTTTAAAATGGAACTAAATCACCACGTGACAATCGAGAAGCCTTGTACTGAGTTCACTATTACGTAATACCGCAGTCAGAAGCGATAACTTATTCTCGCTTTCCGCACGTGTGTTTCACAAATATTTGTAATTGCATTAAAAATCTAAGCTTCTTTCTATTTCGGCTCCACGAGCAAACATTAAGCGAAGTGATATGTTCGAAACAAATATAGCACCCTAAATAATTAGCACACTACACTTGAATAATTACTTGATACGACATTTCTCAGATAGGCTGCCAATACTTAAATTTAAAATCTTGGCATGAGAGCAGATTTCGTAAAAATATCACATATGAATTTGATGTTCTTTCAACTAATTAATGAGTTCTTATCGAATGTATTAGTTTTTTCGTATATACTAACATTTATTCTTTAAATAATAGGAGGGGAGGAGAATTTTATTTATAATGAGCTCTTCACGATTGAGAACGAGAAGATGCGCTTGAAGATAAATGCCTATTTTCTCGCTATTGGTCGAACTCTAATACGTTTATTTTTAGTCGTATATTAACGAATGCATCTTTGGGAATGAGTGAAGACGCATCAACCTGAAATAAAACCTTACGTGTCAGCCCATATAAACAAAACTATAAATAGAACTCAAAAATCTTGTGAAGTTGAGCACCAATCTCGGCTGTTTGATTAGCATAAATGGGCTGCCTCGAATTTCCAAGAGCCACTAAAATTTACCTTGTAAACCGCGACTCGCTTGAAATGTTTTTATTACGAAGCTCTGAATGCATAAATTGCAGTTACGTTGAGTTGAATGCATGAAATACGCCTACGGTATTCTGAATAGTTAGTTTACGGCTGCCAGGCTCCGAATAATTTAAACAGAGATTTGAAATTAGTAAATTAGGTTTTGATTCAATCAATGCGCAAAAATAATATCAAATAAGTAATGCACAAAAATAACATCAAATAAGTTTGCAGTCGCACTCGGCTTTACCTTATAGCATGTTTGAAAATTTCCTGATGATTTGAGCGCTACTCTAGTATAGATAACTTTGGAATAATAGTTGAGTATCATTTCAAGTTATTCCAGAACACATAGATGAAAGTTCATTGTTGAAATAAATACAAACTAATCAACTTCTTCAATTTAAACTTGAAATCCACGCAGATAGCAACTGTTTTAGTTGCGATATATTTATTTAAAAAAAACAAAGTCAACCCGATACCGGAATATCAAGCTCTTATACCTACTATTTTCTTTTAATTGCAGTTTTATGGCATCTGGGGAAAATTCATGACCAAGTTTATGAAGCGTGATATTGTTGCGCGAAGTTCAATTATGACAGCAGAAATATTTATGCTTCAGAAAACGTCTTGTAAGGTCGATCAAAATGAACATTTATGGATTTTCTTGTGAAATCTATTAGATGAACAAACACTGAATGGCTGGGATAAATTAAGACAATTCATAAAAAATCCAATCTCGTTTGTGGAAACTAAAGTTTTTATTCAGTTATGGATTGTATTGATTTGCCAATAGAATAAGTGCATGCAAGTTATGTTGAATGCAAGTGAGTTTCGGTGAGTGATGAAGTCGTGAATACAATATTCATGATCAAAATATTAATTTAGTGATCTTCAATTATATCAGTCCGCGAAATTAATAATGAAGTAGAGATAATTATTCGCATGTTCCAAAGCAGAAAGAATGAAAATAAGTAGCGGTAGTCATGCGTTCCAGAGAGTAATCCTTGCATAATCTCTAGGAAATGTATCAATAATAATAATAAACCGTTTTATCCTTCATTGACACAAATATTTCTAATTATGCGAATTGTAAAAGAATTTTAGTTAGAATTCAATTGCATAACATGATTTTAAATTCAAACTCGCTCAGTTGGAAATTTTGTCTCGTGTAATTACCAATTTGAAGAATGAATATTAAGTGATACTTCGAATCCATTTTATATCTCCCAATGAGTTGCGGCCTTACTAATTCGAATTTTCAGTCTCACAATACGATTTTTTCTCCTAACGTAGTATATTGATGCAGGAAGTAATGCGACTACTTTTTCGCGAGGCTTCGAAAGAATTTAAAATAATTCCCTGGACAAGGACGAGAATTAATCGGCACTTTGTGATGCAGGCGATAAATATTCAACTCTCAATGAGAGGAAAGTGGCAGGAGAGCTTCTATATTTGGGCAAAAATGAATTAAAAAATAAACTTGTTTCGCGCCTCCGATATATATAGGAGATGGAAATTTTTGTAGAAGTGCCCTAGTCTTGTTTGAATATGATTTATAAGTGAATTTCTAGATGGGTTGTCAATTTGCTCATAAACCGTCACAAATTTTCTTATTAGTCTGGTTGACAAAATTCAATGGTGAAGGATACGGTGCCGTTCAATTTCGTGAAACGAAGATGTTAAATTAGTTTATTTGTAACATAAAAATTGAAAGAGGATCGGTGAAGCTGAGAAAGGGGAACTATATGAATTAAATAAACATAATCGAGCATTTCGATGAAATAATAGTTCTACCACTTTTTCGGCTCAATTACAGAAAAATGAAGCATTAAGAAAAATATTATATATATGGTTAATTTCATGTCGTTGCAAAGATATCATTTAGGATGTTGCTCACAAGCGTTTATGGTTTCCACTACTGGAGAAAAAAATTTTGCTTGGATTGGATTTTTCCCCGTTGAAGATATTCGACATAGGATATTGCTCACCTGCGCTCATGAAGCGTGAAGATGTGGACTGAACCCCACAGAGCAGCGGTAGAAGTAGCAATGTCCAGTAGATGGCCCTCATCTCTGTAAGTGCCAGTGCTGAGTGGGCCCTTAAATTCACCCGCGAGAAAGTGCACGGAGTTGGCCAATATACACACAAATAGGCGCGCCTGTAATCCAATGAGACTCTTCAGTCCGCCAAACAATCGCTGCTTCTTGCGTTACCTCGATGCAAACGCTCACTCGCGACTCTCGGACCAAATTGAACGTGCGTCTTTTTGACCTGAAGTTTATTTCAGTGCACTTATGTGTGGTTTCTGTATAAACTTTCAGAGATACACACGACGCATTAACATGAGTTGAAGCAACAATTGCACGGTTTGCAAAGAAACAGAGTTCATACAAATTTAAATGTTCAGGAGGTCTATTGCCTTCCTCAGTAGACGCTAATCTCATTACGGTCCAGCATAAGTTTCAACCTCGAAGAACGGTGAGCTCTAAGAAAACGATAAGGTTCGATAATTTTATAACTAGTTCGATTTCTTGGATGTAATGCTGAAGTAACAACGTTTCTATTAGCGATTAAATCTGCACAATAAAAATTGCTAAATGAAAACAAACATGAAGCACTCACGTGGTTATATTAAATAAATGTCTGATAAAATAATGAAATACATCGGTATACAAGACTACACTACGGGTTATTAAAGTATTAACTTAGGGTAATTAACAGGAATCTCAGAACGACCAAACCTCAAACGCTGGCCGACGGCCTGTTGTTCCCGCATTTGGCATCTAATACACTCGCAGTTTTTGATAAAAAAGTAAATTAAATATATTATCTCGAAGGTAGTAAACGGTCGCTTCATATGAAAAATTTCTAGTAGTTCACCTAGGCAGCTCACAAACAGCAAAAGAAAAGATTGAATTCGACTATGAAAGGCAATTCATCGAATAACTACACATCAGACAATACTGCACAATACATTTTCCTTTTAGATACAATACGCCCTGCTATATGGTCAGATATTTTGAATTGAAATAACATTCATCAACCAATTTCCTAGTTAACGTATAAGATGAAGTGTTAATTGCAAAATAATACTCAGATTTTGTCGCTGTTAGGCAAAAATATGATGGATGCGGAAGCGAGTGATCTCATCCAGCATTTCTTATGGCTATCATCTATATTAATGAGTCTGACAAAATTTTCTGAAAATTACCCGTGAAAAAACGGAACAGTAAAGAGAGTTAAAACGTTCTTTGTTTTCTTCTTATTTCAAAATATCCAGCAGTTGCAAGTCTCATCACAACTGACAGTACCTCAGCCGTGCTAGCTGCGCGGGTCATCACAACCTGCACTTAGTGTCACTTTTTCCCCCGCAACGACTGCCGCTAATCGAAAGCTGCCAAAAATCTAGGATAGGATCTTCTTGGACAGAAGAAAGAACGAACCAATTAAGAGAACTAAGTACGTACGAACAAGCTAAATTTTGGTTTAGATAAATGCGGTATATATACCATCCATATAAACTTCAGCAACATATACAAAAAATTTCTCAATTAAAATGTGAATTTACCACAAGCATATAATTTGTTATTGGTAACTTAACATTAACAGGCTTTGCATTATAATTTTCATTTCAAATACCTGTTAACGCTAATTTATGTGAATGAATTTTCTTAATATTTTCTAAAAGTTGTACCTCAGAAATTGAAGGAAACTTTTAATTGTTTACGTTGTAATGACAGTGTAATTCATGTCAACGTTGGTTGTTCAAAAACATGGAATATCTATATTCGTAACATACGAATTAATCGATGTATTCGAAAAATTGAGAACTTCAGATTATAATCAAGATCTTGAAGTTACAAATGAAGAAAACCTGCATTTGGCTGTTAAATATTAGTAGCAACAACCGCAGACTAAACCGCGGTACTGCATTTAAAAAATGCACCAAGTGCTCAAATTTATATCCAAACATTTAATCCTAATTTTCTCACTGGATTATGCCACCCCTATGCTTGGATATAGTTTTTTTTAGTTCTCGAATGATGAGAACATAATTGTTATCGATTATTCGTCTGTACCTTCAGACATATTTTTTTTGGATGCCGACTTTTTTATGGCATTAAACACAAAATTTCAGGGAATGGTAAACGAAAATGGTAGCATGAAAAACGGTCTAGAAGATTTAGGTGAAGTCATGGAAACTTCACCAGGTTCCTGGCAAAAAAATCCTTCACTCGGAGTAGTTCTCGCACTTATGTTCAAGAAACATTCGCGACTTCAGAGAAAACGACGGAACTGTCGAACACTGCGTCCAATTACATGATTATATTCTTTGTGTCTTGCTATCGACGTCGCTCTTTGAACAAAAGACGAATATCCATCGCATTGAGTGGACTTCTGCAACTTCATTTGTTACTTAATGCGAGAACGTTGAGCTTTCAGGGAATGACTGGAATTGTCGTAATGCCCAGTGCTCCAGGGAGCTCGCAGACATATTGCAAATTTTAAACGTTGAAAAGGACAAATATTGCAATTTATCAACTTTCAAATCTCGAGATTCTGCCGCTTACATGTGAATTTTAATTTTGCAGAGCCAATTTAAATGCATTTGTATTTCAAACCCTGCGTAATAGGTACAATGATAACGTCATTTCACAAATTTGAAAAAATCTGCATTTAAAATACATCTTCATTTAATACGTTATGTGGTTCAAATATTCACCACTATCTACAATTTATTAAGTCTCATTTCAGACTCAAGTGAAACACCATGGAGAAATTTCTACATTAATTTCCCTGCGCTAATTTCCTTATTTCCCTGAATGCATTGATAAAGATTGAATTCAGCTCGAGGTAACCCCAGCAGTTGATGAAGCATCAAATTCCGGAGACGAAGAATAATGGCGTCACCGCTTCATCCGTTCACATAAAAAAGACGCCGTGCAAAAAAGTGTCGTCGCAAATATATCACCTAGACTTGATCCCAGACTCTACCAATTTCCCAGTCCACCAATTTTTTCCAACATTTGCCTATGATTGTTAAACCTTCCAGCCTCTCCGAATTGTGATTTATAACTATGCGATTCCCAGGCAGTAGTTTCTTTTTTGGATAGTGCATAATTTTTCGCTAATAAATAGGCAAGAGTTTTCTTATGACAATTGAAAAAACATAAAAAAGTACAAGTAATCTTCGTATCAATATATCAATCTTTCACATTTATTGCAGGTCGATTATGTTCTGTTCGGCCGCGAAAATTTTAAATTAGAACATAAATTTAGTGGGGGCACCAAAATTTGCCCAAAATGAATATGAATTAATAAATTTTCTGAATAACCACCGTCGCTGATTTCTGTACAGGAATACAGCTAGCTTGCGACCTCAGTCTGTGCGTACAGCAATTAGGGCGGTTGCGTGCAAATGACTTACGTGGCTCACGGCAACTGATTACAGCACAATTCTGTGGCCTTTTTTCTCCGGAATTTTATTAATTTTCACAAAATTATCATATATTTTATTAACGCTAACATTTTGAGGGCAACTGCTACAAATAAATGGGAACAAAATATATGAATAAAAAATGTATTTCTTTTTCATTCTAAATATATTAGGAAAATTATATGTACAGTAGTGCCATGACATCAAATAAATTCAGAGAAAAATCTTTATTCTATTTCCGTGTAATAACATTACTTCTGGGTAGAGTTGCGAAACCTTCATGCGGCAAATTTTTCATGAGGGATTTGAAGGCAAGACACCAGTTCACTTTTCCACGAACTTTACAACTTGGAATTCCTCCTCGACACATTCTTCGCTCATTGTAGTGTTTGAGAATTGAGTGATCGAATGAGGAACGTAATCATCGATGATCACTCGATTTGAAAATCTCAGGAGAAAGCTCCAGAACCTGATATATAAATCATATCATAATCCAAAAAATTTGTATAAAAAATATGGATATGATCTCAAATATTTTATATATTAAAATTAGAAGAGAATAACTTTAAATTATTAGAATATTTGGAAATATTTTATATAACTCACTAGAATTCTGTTGCGAGGGGGAATCATAACTACCTGAATATTTATTGCATTGGTTCAGCTCGGAAAGCCTGAGCCATGCCAATAAATTTAAAGATTGATGCAAATCTTGTTGAGGTAGAATCGCACTGAACATAGAATTTCTGAAGATATGACATTCAACAACATTCCGAATTGCCTCAAGCAAAACGAAACTAGCATTGAGAAAACAAGTGAAATCAGGTAGGGAATCTCATTAATACAATTATTCAGCGACACCAATAATTGAATCGAAACTGGATAAATGCCCTACCCTTGATTATTACGCAGCTCAATTAAAATATTTGCATTTAAATTTTAATTTTATATTTATTTAATTTTATATATATTTCATGGGCTGTCGGCACTTGGTCTTCTTTTAATTCGACCTTCCTGGCCAACAAAACAACAGGAGTCAGAATAACGTCGACAAAAAATACACTTCCATGGTCTTCTCAGCTATGAAAGCAAACAGCAAATTTCGCCGAATAAAACCGCGAATTCTTCTGTGTAGAACTGCGAAAACATGCCCAGAGACACGTCGAGGTGCTCATAAGCCGCGCTCCATGCAGAGCTGCAAACATACAGTGGACTTCACTAGGCAATGCCATGGTGGCTCTAAGCAAAATATTGTGAGCTTGGCCACACTTCTGCAAGATCAGGAAGACAGACGGCCTCTTGCTTGAAACCAGCCCCCGCTGTGGCAAGGAGTCAGGCTAGGATGTAGCTACAATTTGCCATATGTCATTGGCAATGGTGGTAATCATGAAAGGCATTATCACGGCCGGCATATGGATCTTCCACGAAATATTCTTCACTTTGTTCACCCACTGAGTATAGTTCCCTTTTAGTGCAGAAAGTGCATCATCATTGATTATAGTGGTAGTGTGAGGTTTCGCGATTTTTATTTAATTATGTATTCGATGCAATGAAACGTAACGATGTTTAGTCAGCATTCTATTGACATCCCTTTTATTATTCCGAAACTAAATTGAATTCGTAATATTAATACCGGTATCAAACATTCAGTATCTATGCAAACCATAATTTAGTCCAATAGTTATGGTTTTCGAACACAAATTTGTCATTATTACAGTCTTCATGCAGTGTCAGAGTTTGAATAAGCAGTTTTCAATATCAAATTTCGCGATGATTTGATGCATTACATTAATCAAAACAAGCTTCGCGAGGCACCGACAGAAGTTAGAGTAAATATTGCATGAATTTCATAAGGCAGACGCATTCTCACTCCTTTGCTGGAAGCCCATGAACTACTCTGACTCAACAATATTTCAGTCTCTATAAAAACTAACGAGTCTCTGCTCATGTGATATTGGAGGTCTTAGAA